CGGAGATACGGGCGTTTGAAGTTTTGGACATTTTTGTTTCTAATATTCCTTTGCTTTGACAATGCTGTGGCTCTCTAGAGATCCCTAGCAATTTATAGCGCCATATCAGAGGCTGATTGCAAAGTAATAAGTATTTTCTGACCGATGGCAGAGGCCTACATTTCCAATGAAAAAAAAAATTTATTTTAAACTTTGATTATTCCGAAATAAGGCTTATTTAGCCCTATCTCCATTATTTACGGAGATACGGGCGTTTGAAGTTTTGGACATTTTTGTTTCTAATATTCCTTTGCTTTGACAATGCTGTGGCTCTCTAGAGATCCCTAGCAATTTATAGCGCCATATCAGAGGCTGATTGCAAAGTAATAAGTATTTTCTGACCGATGGCAGAGGCCTACATTTCCAATGAAAAAAAAAATTTATTTTAAACTTTGATTATTCCAAAATAAGGCTTATTTAGCCCTATCTCCATTATTTACGGAGATACGGGCGTTTGAAGTTTTGGACATTTTTGTTTCTAATATTCCTTTGCTTTGACAATGCTGTGGCTCTCTAAAGATCCCTAGCATTACAAAAGGCCATCCGAGAGGCTGATTACAGAGTTAAAAATATTTTCTGACCAATGGCAGAGGCCTACATTTCAAATTAAAAAAAAAATTATTTCAAATTTTGATGATTTCAAAATAAGGCTCATTTCGCCCTATCTCCATTATTTACGGAGATACGGGCGTTTAAAGTTTTGGACATTTTTAATTCTAATATTCCTTATCTTTTTGACAATGCTGTGGCTCTCTAGAGATCCCTAGCAATACATACAGCCTTGTCAGATGCTGATTGCAAAGTTTAAAACATTTTCTGACCGATGGCAGAGGCCTAGATTTCGGATTAAAAAAAAAAAATTATTTCAAATTTTGATGATTTCAAAATAAGGCTCATTTCGCCCTATCTCCATTATTTACGGAGATACGGGCGTTTAAAGTTTTGGACATTTTTAATTCTAATATTCCTTTTCTTTTTGACAATGCTGTGGCTCTCTAGAGATCCCTAGCAATACATACAGCCATGTCAGATGCTGATTGCAAAGTTAAAAACATTTTCTGACCGATGGCAGAGGCCTACATTTGAAATTAGAAAAAAAAATTTTTTTTCAATATCGATGATTCCAAAATAAGGCTTATTTCGCTCTTTCTCCATTATTTACGGAGATACGGGCGTTTAAAGTTTTTGACAATTTTATTTTTAATATTTCTTTGCTTTGACATTGCTATGGTTCTCTAGAGATACCCAGCAATACATAAAGCCATGTCAGATGCTGATTGCAAAGTTAGAAATATTTTCTGACCGATGGCAGAGGCCTACATTTGAAATTAGAAAAAAAAATTATTTTAAACGTTGATGATTCCGAAATAAGGCTTATTTCGCTCTATCTCCATTATTTACGGAGATACGGGCGTTTAAAGTTTTAGACTTAATTTACTTTCAATATTTCCTCTTTTTGATTATGCTGTGTCTTTCTAGGGCTCCCTAGCAATGCAAGGGACTATCCTAGAGGCCCATGACGTGGTAAAAATATTATTTTACCGATGGCATAGGCCATCAATACGGAAATTATAAAAAAAATTCTTATAGAATTTTATGATCCCAAAATGAGGCTCTTTTTGCCCTATCTCCATTATTTACGGAGATACGGGCGTTTAAAGTTTTAGACTTAATTTACTTTCAATATTTCCTCTTTTTGATTATGCTGTGTCTTTCTAGGGCTCCCTAGCAATGCAAGGGACTATCCTAGAGGCCCATGACGTGGTAAAAATATTATTTTACCGATGGCATAGGCCATCAATACGGAAATTATAAAAAAAATTCTTATAGAATTTTATGATCCCAAAATGAGGCTCTTTTTGCCCTATCTCCATTATTTACGGAGATACGGGCGTTTAAAGTTTTAGACTTAATTTACTTTCAATATTTCCTCTTTTTGATTATGCTGTGTCTTTCTAGGGCTCCCTAGCAATGCAAGGGACTATCCTAGAGGCCCATGACGTGGTAAAAATATTATTTTACCGATGGCATAGGCCATCAATACGGAAATTATAAAAAAAATTCTTATAGAATTTTATGATCCCAAAATGAGGCTCTTTTTGCCCTATCTCCATTATTTACGGAGATACGGGCGTTTGAAGTTTTGGACATTTTTGTTTCTAATATTCCTTTGCTTTGACAATGCTGTGGCTCTCTAGAGATCCCTAGCAATTTATAGCGCCATATCAGAGGCTGATTGCAAAGTAATAAGTATTTTCTGACCGATGGCAGAGGCCTACATTTCCAATGAAAAAAAAAATTTATTTTAAACTTTGATTATTCCAAAATAAGGCTTATTTAGCCCTATCTCCATTATTTACGGAGATACGGGCGTTTGAAGTTTTGGACATTTTTGTTTCTAATATTCCTTTGCTTTGACAATGCTGTGGCTCTCTAGAGATCCCTAGCATTACAAAAGGATATCCGAGAGGCTGCTTACAGAGTTCAAAATATTTCCAGACTGATGGCATAGGCCTACATTTTAAATAAAAAAAAATTATTTCAAATTTTGATGATTCCAAAATAAGGCTTATTTCGCCCTATCTTCATTATTTGCGGAGATACGGGCGTTTAAATATTTAGACATTTTTGTTTTTAATATTCATTTTTTTTGACAATGCTGTGGCTCTCTAGAGATTCCTAGCATTACAAAAAGCCATCCGAGAGGCTGATTACAGAGCTAGAAATATTTCATGACCAATGGCAGAGGCCTACATTTCAAATTAAAAAAATAGTAGTTTTCCTACGAGTTTGAAAAGTCTCTGTTTGCGAACCGAGAGGTTTGCGGCCCGAGCCAAAGGCGAGGGACGTAACGAGGTTCGTTAAGGAGACTTTTCGAACGAGTTCCGGAAAACTGCTTTTTTGCCCGAGGGAGTACCAGCCTCCCAAAACCGCCCGAGGGCGGAAAAAATTATTTCAAATTTTGATGATTCTAAAATAAGGCTGATTTCGCCCTATCTCCATTATTTACGGAGATACGGGCGTTTGAAGTTTTGGACATTTTTGTTTCTAATATTCCTTTGCTTTGACAATGCTGTGACTCTCTAAAGATCCCCAGCAATACATAGAGCCATAATGGAAGCTGATTGCAAAGTTAAAAATATTTTCTGACCGATGGCAGAGGCCTACATTGAAAATTAGAAAAAAATTTTTTTTTTCAATTTTGATGATTCCAAACTAAGGCTTATTTCGCTCTATCTTCATTATTTACGGAGATACGGGCGTTTGAAGTTTTGGACATTTTTGTTTCTAATATTTCTTTGCTTTGACATTGCTATGGTTCTCTAGAGAACCCTAGCAATACATAAAGCCATATCAGAGGCTGATTGCAAAGTTAAAAATTTTTTCTAACTGATGGCAGAGGCCTACATTTAGAATTAAAAAAAAAATTATTCTAAATTTTGATGATTCCAAAATAAGGCTTATATCGCCCTATTTCTATTTTTAACGGAGATACGGGCGTTTGAAGTTTTGGACATTTTTATTTTGCAAATTGCCTTTTTTTGACAATGCTGTGGCTCTCTAGAGATCCTGGGCAATGTAAACAGCAATATCAAAGGCTCATTACAAAGTTAAAAATATTTTTTAATCGATGGCAAAGACCTACATTTGAAATTAAAAAAAAAAATTATTCTAAATTTTGATGATTCCAAAATAAGGTTTATTTCGCCCTATCTCTATTATTTACGGAGATACGGGCGTTTAAAGTTTTTGTCATTTTTGTTTCTAATTTTTCTTTTTTTGACAATGCTGTGGCTCTCTAGAGATCCCTAACCTTACAAAAGGCCATCCGAGATGCTGATTGCAGTGTCAAAAATATTTTCTGACCGATGGCAGAGGCCTGCTTTTTGAATTTAAAAAAAAATTATTCTAAATTTTGATGATTCAAAAATAAGGCTCATTTCGCCCTATCTCCATTATTTACGGAGATATGGGCATTTAAAGTTTTGGACATTTTTGTTACTAATATTCCTTTGCTTTGATGCGATATCTTTAATATTTACAAAGATCCGGGCGTTACAAGTTTCTGTAATCTTTTTAGCCAAAAGATGTAAATTTGCGGTAATACGATGGCTCTGTAGTCGTTACGATTGATACAGTAGACTGTCTAGAAGTAATATTCGTTAATTATATATTTTCAAATGCTGACTAGTGCATGGTTTGGGTTAATTACAAAAAAATTTTTTATAAATTTTAATAATCTTAAACTTATTATTTACGGAGATACGGGCGATTTAAGTTTCGTCTATTATTTTACCTAAAAATTTTCAGTTAGCAGAAATAGAATTGCTTTGTAGTGTTTTAGATAGATACTGTAGATTGTCTAAAAGGATCATCAAAAGATGATATTTTTTTTTACTGCTGGCTAGTGGATAGTTTGATTAAATTCCTAAATAAATTTTTAAAAACTTTAATGATTTTATATTTTTTCTTATTTCGCGTTATATCTTCATTATTTACGGAGATACGGGCGTTTTATGTTTCAGCTATTCGTTTAGCCGAAATTTTTGACATTGCAGTTATATTATGGCTTTGTAGTCGTTCGCAGTGATATAGTTGCCTGTTTTGAAGTAGTTCTAGTTTTTCAAATGTTTCTTCAAAGTATTGCCGAAGTTTAAAGTATGTTCATTAAAAAAGAATTATTTTATGAATTGTATGAGCTGAAACTATCGCTTAATTCTCGACGTCTTTGTTATTGCGTTTACTGTTCTGGCATTGTTTTGAGAGCAAAATTTTGTGTTTTTAGTAGTGCTATTGGTATGTTCTTTTTCTATTGGCATAGTCAAGGGTGTGTTCGGTGAAAAATTTTTTGTAACACACAGAATTACCAAAACTTATTGTCAAAGTTACACAAAGATTTTTTTATTATTTTATTTTTTTCTTATATTAAGATTCTCAAATTTTCTTATTTATTGTAAAACAACTTTTTGTATACGGCTGATGTACTTTTCATTAATGTATTTTATTGCGAGACAATAAAATTTGAAGGAAAAAAAAGGACCAGAAGCCTAATTGAACGGTTACATTGATTGTTGAACTTTGATCAAGTATAGGGGTGAGAGATGAAAAAATAGCAAAGCTCCAAGAGGGAAGGACCTTCGAAAGACAAACCTGACGCGGCTTGATTGGTGGCGGCGGCGGTGGCGGATGAGGCCGGGACGACGAATGAGTTGTGATGAGCTGTTGGTGGGCTGGGGTAGCAGTCGGGAGTATATACGGGCGAGTGGCCGAGGTAGTTGTAATGGTTGAGGCTGTTTGCTGCTGCTGCTGATGATGATGAAGTGAGGGTGGCTGCTGCCAGGGCAGCCCTGTTCGAGGCAAGGTTGCCGGCTGCTGCTGCGACTGCTGCTGCTGCGCTTGGCGGGATGCCAGGGTTGGCTGCTGCTGCGGCTGCTGCTGCGGCGATGGCTGCTGCTGCTGAATTGGCTGCTGACTCGGCTGCTGTTGCATTGATACAGTTGGATGATGCTGCTGCAATTGCTGCTGATGGTGGTGCAACAGCTGAGAGGCAGTTGACACCTGGACAGGATGGTGCGAAGCACTGTTGCTGGTACTGCCGAGCGAGGTAACTCGTGGAAGCGTTGAACCGATTGAAGAAATCTTCCGAACTGTCTGTGAAATGAGCTACTGATTATTCGGCCCTTGCAGGGTTGTGGGGTCTATCGAGTGGGACACTATTGCTAGTCAACTCTTTGCGAAAGCAATCCTCAACCCCTAGACCCCCAATAACCACATTAAATATATATAATACCATTCTCGGATTGCTTTTGCAAGAGCCTCAACAACGGCTACTTATTATTATTTCCTCTCTTTGTTTAATCACATGTGGAAGGGGAAAATTATTCATCGTATGTGTGCAACGACTGGAAGTTATAAGTATATAATTCAGCTCGAGTCATGGTTAATCAAGTGTTGCTAAAGTGTGTGCTAAAAAATAACCAAAGCTCTGATAGCTCAAATAAAACGTACTGGTGCAACGTACACAGTGAAAAATAATGTAAAATTTTGCTGTGTGTGTGTTTAATGTGTCGATGATCAAAAAAGTAATTGTGTACACAGAGACAGTGGTCTCAGTAATTTTCATTCGTAGTTAAAACTACCACCACTTATCTCCGTGTATAAAAATTGTAGGTGAACGTATGTACGATGATTGAAAAAAAAAAAAAAAAAAATTGTTGGATAACGGTAAAATAAATTTAATGATATAGAGTGAAAAATCAAAGGAAATAAAAAAAGCATTGCCATTGGTGATTGGTGAATGTCGAAGCGTAGCTTCCGCGGGTCGGAATGATCACATTACCTGACTTGACGGGCCAGATCTCGAGTAGGTACTTGAGCACGGCGATCGGCTGCTGGAAGTCCAGGGGAGTCCCCGAGTCGTCCGAGTGGAGCATCAGCACAGGACCGAAACATATGGCCAGGCTACCCGGCGACATCTTGTTGCACTGCGATATCACCATTGCCAGATGGTCGAGCAGATAGATCAACGTGCACTGCAAGGCAATTGATTCGAATCAAACAATGTGTCCACCAATATCACAGTTATACAGGCAATAAAATGATAACGTGTGGGCGTGTGTATACCTTATTAACAGTGGGAAGACAGTCGAGTATGCTGAACATTAACTTTGCATTGCCCTGCAGGTCGTCCGGTATGCACACCCCGAGCGCGTCGACCATCATCTGGTAGAGGCACTTGGTGAACAGTGGTTCCGGTAGTTCCCTCAAGTAATCCTTCAACACACCTACGAGAACCATAACATTATTGGATGCAGTTTTGTGTGTACATATATACTTTAGAGTACTGTTATCAAAGGGTGGTAATTACCAGTTATGACGTTGATGTCCGGCACGTTGTCGGAGGACAGGTCGACCGATCTTGCGTTCCTCTCGAAGGCCTCCCTCAGTATGCGCTTCTTGGTCGCGGATCCGCACAACCTGTACAAGCCTGTCGGACGAAAAGGCAAGAAGTTTAACAGGTCCGCGGGCTCGGGTATGGGTCAAAGGCTAAATGGACAGGTACTTTTAGAATTCAATTTACCAATTATGTCGAGGCCGCGTCTTTCGACCTCCTCGACGCAGCGCCAAACGATTATCGGGACGTTGGGCACGCCGCTGCCACCCATCGCCAGAGCTGTCGACACACCTCCTGGAACCCCGCCAGTTTTGCTCTCCCGAGCCACCTGCGGTACAAATTATTTTTTAATAATAATAATAATAACAATAACCTGCTACGTGGATATACGTACAACAGTGTCGAGGTCTATGCCAAAGAGGGGCGCTATCCTCGTGGCGAGGGATATGATGGGCAGTCCCCGCCTGCGGAAAGTTTGGCCGGCGTCGGTGTACTTGAGCCTGAGGTATATGGTGCCCCGAGGCTCGACCTTGACGGCGAGCTGGTGAATGGGTGATTCCCTGAGCAAAGTGGCCAGGTGTACCGAGCCCTTGTAGCAGAGCTTGTGCCTGTACTGGGGATCCCACGAGTAGACGAGGAGGTCCAGCTGCCGGTTGCCCACGAGGTCGAGCTCGAAGCTCTCGTCCCAGTCGAACATGAGGTCGCCCGTGCGCACGACCGTGCGCGCCTTGTGCACCCGGTCGCACTCGAGGACGCAGTAGAGGTCGCGCAGGCTGCAGTTGACGAGGCTTGGTTGGCCCGAGGGTGTCGAGGGGGTTGTGGCCGTGGAGCTCGAGGCGGTCGTCGCGCGCAGACCCCGGCCCGCGAGTAGGTGCACCCATAAGAGGCCGCTCACGCCGGTGGAGAAGTCACTGGGTGCCGAGTTGCCGCCTACCCCGCTGCCGTCCGCTATCGAGCTCAGGAGAGAGCTCGTCGAACTCGGGGTGCCCACCTGCTGCTGCTGCGGCTTTTCCAGCTTGTACTTGAGGAACTCTGGTGGGGCATCATTCGGAGGGTTATTTGGGCTGTTGTATGGTTTTTTTTTTTTTCTTTTACAATTGCATTTGAGTTTTCTGTGAGTTTGGAAAATTCGTGGTAGTTGAATCGCTTTTTCGATTACAATAGGAAAATCTCCGACACAATTTCGCACATCGCTCGGTACTTACAAGCGGCTTTGGTAGAACGCGAGAAAAATCGATTGGGCATCACAGTCGGGATGACGGACGATTTTAATTTCGTTTCGTGTAGTTTGGAGCGAATTTAATTTTTTTTTTCTTCTTACTTTGCAGGAAGCAGCAAGAATGTTTCCTTGCTGGATAAGTACAATAATTGCATCGCGTCTGTCAGTGCGTCGAATTGCTCCAACACGTTTTAATCAACCCCCCTTACACTCACCATTGTATGCGATTGAACAAAAAGTGATGAACAAGTAACTATAGGTAGGCGAAAAAGTACTCGTTGGCAAATAAAGCATGGGGTTTTAACTGTAGAGTGAATTTCTTGCAAAGGGAGAGAAAGATGTGATTTTCTTTTTATTGGCATTTTCTGCTATTATCGACACTACGTGAACTTCAAGTATGAAATTTTAATGTTACTGAAATAATTAATGTAAATTAATGAATTGAAACCAACATCATGTAGATAGTATTAAATACCTCATTATCATATTCATTATCATATTGACGAAGTTTTTTTCCTTTACTAAGGGTTTCATCAAGTCATGAAAAATGTATACGCAGTAAACTCTACCAATTATCAAAAACAATTAACGAAACTTTTAGCTGCCAAAAAGATAAAATTTGTCAAAGTACAAATAGAATAGAAGAGAGTTTTTTTTTAAAATAACGTGACATTGGTGTCAATTCGACTACTTATCACGATTCTTGGAGCTGTTGTGAGAATCAATCATCATTTTAAATCTCTTAACGTTTTATTTCAATTCATCTCTTTTGGCTGACATACTTAATGAGATAAAAATACGTATTTTTTGAAGATCAGCAAGTCGTGCATTCATGACACTGCCATTTAATGTTTTTTTTTTTTTTTTTTGTAATGAACGAAAAATTACCTCTTTGTTGTTTATAATTTTTTTTTTATTATTTTGATTCTTCGCATATGTATTATAGGCCAATGTAAAAAAATTTATTTCGTTAAAATCAATATATTTTCTTGAATACACGTAGGTCTGATATTTAAAGTTTCATTTTGATATGCCAAATTGATTTGGTATTTGTCAAATGAACCAATATATGTAAATATATTCTTTCATTTCCTCGACCTCAAACTTCTGTATGTTCTGAATAAAAGTTCCACGTTACAAAAAATATCTGCCTCTAGAGTTTCATGTCAGATTTTTTTTTTGTTACATAGAATATCATATAACAATGTGCAGTTGAGATAAAAGTGCTACAAGTACTGAAGCTCTCTGCTTGTACATGATCAAAAGTATCAAACAGTCACTGCTTTAAAAAAAAAAAAAAAAAATTTTCCTTTCGATTTATTAAAAACGAATTTTTTTTAACTCCTAGATTTTGAAGGTACTGTTATTTACTTATTTTAACGAAAATTAGAAAAACTTTTTTAAGCTTAACGATTTACGTCGACTTAAAAAGTATTTTATTTTATTTATTATTTTTTTTTAAGGATTAATTCATCACGCGGTGAAGCCTCTTTATTTGAAATTGGATTGTTTACTCAAATTGAACACATTGGTCAAAGCGCGTGATTTAAAAATGTTTTATTTTAAACGAGGTTTTATCGAGCACAATAACACTGTGACAAGCTGTGTATTCAAAATCGATATTGATAATTTGAGCAACTTTGTACTAACACGTACAAACACACAAATATACGATATTCGTGGAAAAGGTCATGAAACGATTAGCACATTTATATTTGGCAGTGAATAAATGGAACACAGTTACGGTGATAGCACTTTTTTATTAACCTGCAGTAGAAAAGAGACGAATACGAACCATCAAAACATCCCTCATTTATCCCTACGCTTAAACGTAGTAAAGCAACGAAGGGCCCCAGTTAAAATTGCTTTTTTTTTTTTTGTTTTTTCTTAACTTTTGTAAAAACGCAAGGCAGAGTGTAGTAGTAAATGTATTCCCGCACTCACCGGCAGGATTGATGTCCAGGAGTCTCTGGTCCATGGCCCGGGTGGGCGTGGGCGTGGGTATGCTGCGAGCCTGCTGCTCGAGGTCGAGGATGTTGCGCATCCGGCGGACGTTGTTGGCGCGCTGGCTGGCCGGTCCACCGGTGAGCCCGGCTTTCTGGGTGACGAGCGACGACCTCACGTTCGAGGCCACGGAGGAGGGTCGGGCCCCGAGGGTCCCCGCACCCGAGCCCGCTCTGTGGGCGCTCGACGAGCTTATGGCCGTACTGGCGCGGAGGTTAGCCAGGTTCACCTGCTGGGCGGAGGCGGACCTCGTCGTCAGCCTGTCCAGCGTGCTGCTCGCCATTGGCCGGTACGAACCGTACCCACCGTAGTCGGCCTGGGGAAGTCGCGCGAACACAAACACGAAGGATTGAATTTTTTTTTCAACGCCTTTTTTTTGCTGCGCCTTTTGCTTTCAGCTGGGACTATATAGCCTACGTGTCATGTGTGCGGATTTTTAAAGCTCTAGATGATGATCTACGCGTATGGGTTAATTTAGCAGCTACAGCTCGCAAGCTATATAAAATGGGGTATATAGTAATGATCGAAGGAGTCGTTACGTGTATATATATATATGATGTAACGCCCGCGTGATTGGAAGCTCAAGTCTCTATTTCCGTCTTTGAAATTTAATGTCAGGCAAGAGTGTACAGGGTAAATCAACTACGGGTACGTATCAATTACGATTTTGATTGAATCTCGCGCGTTCAATATAATCTTCCCTATGCAGGGTATAACACAATATATATGTACAGAATAATGTATGCAGCGTAGCTGTGCGGATCGTGAGTTGTGGCGGCTGGTATCGGAGCCTTTCGAATTCATGCACCGTCGCTTGCACGCGTCACACACATGTTGTATGTATAAAAATAAAAAGAATAGTATACCTACTCTATACATGGAGATAGAGAGAAGCTATATTATATTTATAGATGGAGTACTGCGTCGCACTATTATGCGCATGCGAGAGGGAAGAAGAGAGAGGAAAAGAGACAGACAAACAGATTCCCTGCCTGCAGCGNTATATATATATATATATATATATATATATATATGTGTGTATGTGCGCGTGTGTCTATAATACAATCTGATTACAGTCGGGACTGCAAATAGCAGCGTGTATGGGTATACTACCTAGTAGCGTTGGAAGGAAGGAAGGAAAGTCAGGCTTACGCCAATTACGTACACACACACAAATACAGGTAGTGTGTTATTGTTGCCCCGTAGCGCGGTATATATGTTGTATTTATTGGATGGTGTACGTGTGTTCCGGCGTATTCCTCTCGTTCTATAATTGCTGGTCATAGTATTAAGGTATAGATAGAATGTCGTATGCTTACTAAGTTAAGTACCTGGTTCACGGCCGCGTGGATGTTCTCGGCGCTGTAGGTGTAGCGGGGCGGTCGATTGGCCGTAGATCGTATCTGCTCGTAGAGGGCGGACGTGCTCGGGGTTCGGCTCAACCAGGCCCGGTACTCGTCCGACGTGAAGATGCTCGGCGACGATGGTATCCTACCTGCGATTCGTCGTAACCGATCGCAAGGTTAATTATTTTTGCCTTTAACGATTTTTTTTTTTTTTTTTTTTTTTTTTTTTTTTTCTTTTTGTATAGCGCACGCTCGATGGTGCACAATTATGCTACAATTGCATATTTATACATATACTTTTCCGAATTGGATATTTTAATACATATAATTATATGACATATTCGTCATCACGAGATCGGTACAGTACTACACAGCGCTAGAATAATTAGTAAGTAGTTACGATTACGTATCTGGTCCGTTGCGAGTCGTCCATTGTTTCATTAAAATATCGACTGTAAATATCTAATATGTAAATGCATGTGCCTCTAAACACTAAACTAGTTCACAGCATTGTAACATGAGTAATTTTCGTAAATGAGTAATCGTATGTTGTAATGTACACTGCGGTAACATGTACTAATTGTCGTAAAATTAAATGGTAACCCGTGAGGAGGAAGCACTATGTGACAGTCAAATGTTGCTGCGGAATGTACATTTATAGTTCAAAATTTGTTTATGTGTGTATAATCTGCAGAAAAGAAAAAAAAAAAAAAAATACCAACAGGCTAATAACACACAATTAAGAGGCGTCTATCAGCGACTAATATAGGAGAAAGGGAGCGCTATCTCGATCAACTGAGAAAAAAGACTTTGGAGACTATCATTACAAAATATTTTTCAATCATTAATAAAACAGCACCGATAAACCTGTGCAGTTAAAAGAGATAACAAATCACGCCTGAGATAGCGCTTTCTTCCCCGAACTATCGATATATTTGCGTAAGATGTGATCGAATTGAGAAAAAAAGAACATACATGTACATATAGTGTAAATAATTGTCGTAGAGTAATCATTAGCGAAAAGAGTAAATATCGATCACCAACAGTCATGAGCTCAAAACGAAAAGACTAAGGCATTAGCGGCACACTACAACTATATGTATGTGTACGTATGATGTTGAAGCGCGTGCGGATAAGAAAAAATGAGTATGTTAATCAAAGTTCCAAGGGAACTTCACTCGTGGGCGTGGCGCGAGGAAAGGCGGAGGAGTAAGGGGGGGTGGGACAATCGTTGTGTGCAAAGTCGTTCAGGGCAATGCCAAGAGGTACTCCTATACTTTGAAGTTAGGCCCTTTGGCGCGGCCCTTCAATTCCGGGAGCGAAATTTCCTTGGAGCTGCTACACACCCATTCGAAGTTCCTCTGTGCATATACTCTCTTGTATTGTACACGTATAGGGGGCGTAGGAGCTACTGCTACACTTGTATGTGCACCAGAGCTTGGGGAAACGGATAAGTGGGAGTGTCGATGTATATACGTATAAGGTGTGTACGAACGAGTATAAACCAAAAAAGAGAGATAGAGAAAAAAGACAGATAGAGAGAGAGAGAGAGAGAGAGCAGAATTAAATCCTTACCTCGATCCCGTCGCATGGCGGGTAATTCGGGAGCCGAGAGGGCTCCGTCGCTGTCCTCCTGGTCGATCAGACCCGAGGCTACGGTGCTAAGGCCCGGCCTGAGGCTCGGCTGCTGCGGCAACGTCCGGCCGCTGCTTCGCGGCAGCGAGTTCGATCTCAGCCCTAAAACATGCGCGAGAGCTGTCCTTCTCTTTCTTTCCGTCGTGCGATACTGCGATATTGCACCACAACCGGTATATATTTTCTTGAGCCTCGGGCCCCTTTGCGCTACTATTGCGTTTGTACACTCTGAGATTATATTCTATTTGAATGTACCCCCCAAAAATGTTAATGTTAGATGCTGCGACGGGCTCTGATTATCCCTTGGTACTGTTATTTATTAACTTTTTTTATTTTTTTTTATTTTATTTGTATGGTGATTAAGAGAGCCAACTTTTGTTTTTCAATGAGAGAGAAATAACTATGACTGATGCCAGCATCACGGCAAACGATGCCAATATCACCCGTGTGCAAAAAAAAATGAAAAGACGAGTAAAAGAGCGCTAAAGAAGCCCGAACGACTCGTTGCGTCCTGTGCGAGTACGCGTGGGATACGTGTGCGCGAGAGCGGACGTGGACGTTGCCGTAGGAATTGTTTTTTTTTTTCTTTTTTTTCTTTTTTTTTTTTTTTTTTTTTACGAGCCTCGTGAAACTTTCCACATGCCAGAACTTTTTGTGTACGCGTGTATCACCTCCTGTGACTCAGTGTTTGATCAGCTTCTGGTTTTTTTCTTTTTTTCTAAATCTATCGTGAATATATGGCTAAGAACTTGCTAAAAACAGACTATGAGAATTAAATATCGAAAAAAGGAGAAATAAAGTACAAACAGTAAAGTTACGTGTAGAAAGAAAAAAAANAAAAAAAAAAAAAAAAAAAAAAAAAAAAAAAAAAAAAAAAAATACACTTAGAGTGCCACATTAGCCGAGTCAGTTTATATTGTAATGTATGTAATGTATAAACGACAACTATATAATATGATAAAGTGTAAGACAATGACGATTGCACATATTATGTTTGTAGTTTCATGAGCACAATGTAAAAAAGAGTAAAAAAAAGTATGCATGTATCTGCTATTAAAGATTATAAAAGAAACGAGGAACAAGTCTTCGGGCTTGCCGGACGATGCACCACTTTCTTCTTCGCCTACATAAAAAAAAAAAAAAAAAAAACCGTGCCACTCACCTGTGCTCTGTCCGATCTGGGAGCGCGACAGGGTGGCCAAGTGCGACACGGCGCTGCTCTGGGCCGGATTGCCAAGGTTTTGCCTGTAGTAGTAATACGCCGAGCGCGGCGAGCTCGAGCACGTGGCCTCGGTGTCGGAGGCGTAGTCCAAGGAGGGCCGGTGCGCCCGCCTCGACAGCGTGCCAAACTGAGCTTGGCGCTGGGCCGCCGCCACCGCCGCAGCCGTGACCAGGGCGTCGCTCTGGGTCGCGTACCGGCTGCCGTACCGCAGCCCCGACGAGCCTGTGGGCACACACCGGTCGGTCATCGATCCCAAATCGAGCAACACTCGAGTGAAGAGTGACTCACCGGTTTTGAGACTCGAGCGCAGGAGCGTGTGCCTGGCCGGGGTCGTGATGCTGGTGTAGTCGACTCGGGGTAGGTGTTGGTCGGAGCCACTTCGGGGCATCATGCGGCTCGGGGCGGGGGACGCCGAGTGGGACCCGTAAGCCGTGGAGGTGCCGTAGTGCCGGCCGAGCGTGGCTGTCTGCATGCCGGGGCCGGCGGACATGCGACGCGTGCCATTGGACGCCATCGTCGGCGGGTAAAACGAGTGGACCTGCGAGAATTGGAATTTAGGAGCCGCTCTCCAAGCTCGGATCAACTACTGCTTTGGTGTTTTTTTTTTTCGTTCGTTGTTTTTTTTACTCTCCCGGGCACGGCTTTTCAGCAACGGTTCGATGCTTCGTTTATGTCGCGACGGAGCTCGTTATCCGAACTACCAAGAGCGCGAAGATCTTTTTTTTCTTTTTTTTTTTTTAATCATAAGGGAATTGAAAGTTTAGTATAATAATTCCCGTTTTTTTAAAGAAACGTCGTTCACGACGACAAATTGGAGAGCAAAAACTCTTTGCAAGGAAATAAATAGCACTTGTTCTCATCGGTTCAAAGGCATCGCAGTCGTTTGATCGAAATATCACTCGGTGCCATCGACTGCCCCTCCAAAGGCTGAACAAAGTTTTATTGGACGCTAAAGAGCCGTAAAACGATCTCGCCATCGCGGATCGGTATCATATTTCGTCTTAGTTACGAGCAAGAATTGCGAAACGTTGAAACGACAAATATAATGAACGGAACGAAAGATCGATGCAAATTATTCGTAAAAAATATATGTAGATGTACACACGTATACAAAGTGAAACGGAAAATGGTGAGCCATGCCAGCATACCTACAATGGACGGAGAGGGGCGTTCATGATGTACTACGTAAACGTGCAAAACAACAGACAATAACAACGAGGATGGATTATGGGCTCTCGAGCGGGTGGTTCTATTGCTACGTCACTACGGTGCGTTCGGGACCAAAGGGGTATGATTATCTTGCCAAACTTTTTTGATTAATTATCGACGTTTTATCATAAACCGCAGTGTGGCCGTGCCTGCTGTACACCAGCATACCGATGATTAATCTTCAAGTCGATACCAACGGCGCAAAACATCATTAAGAAACGGCGCCTGTATACCCACCCCGAGAGAACGCGATTATTCAATTAACCATTTACCTACCGATAATATTCACATTATATGTTTGTGATGCAAATTTTTTTTTTCCAACTCTTTCTATTGATAATTGATTTAAAATTTTGTCGAAACAGCTTGAAATCGCATTATTAAAATTGTAACTCCTGTATCATTGTATATGTAAAATCCATCTCGTTATTTTGACAAAGCGGAAAAGTACTTGGTATAATCTCCAAGAGCCCAAAAGGTTCGTAATGGCACGGAGGAAATTCCGCGCGTTCTCTCGGAGAGGAAGGGAGGCGCCCCCCGTGGTAACTGTATATGTATATATATGTGCGCGTCCAGGACGCTCGTTTACTCCGAAGGCGACAAAGTGTTGTTATTGTTATTAATACACGTCGCCTTTGAGATGAACGCGCGTAGATGGGCGAGCACAGCTGTTTGGCAAGAGGCTCATCTTTTTACGGTCCAGCGCGCCGCCAGCCATGTATTGCACGTACTCGTGGCGCGCCGCCTCGTCTACTCAATCGTTATATCGTACACAGGGCAACTATGTGGATAATATTAGTGACGGTGGCAGTGTTAGCGATAGTAATAGTATAGTAATAAAAGATTATCAAGAAGATTTGTAAGTGCTATTACCTTCGTGAAATCCTGGGTTTACGATTCAATGGAGCGTTCGTTCATAGAGAGAGAGAACCGACAACACAAGTCCGATATACATACATGTACATATATATATATAAATAGGTAAATCGTAATTTAGAGATTGGCTTTTATTTTTTTTTTTTTATCTCTTTCGTTTTATGAGTAGAGTTTTTAGCGTGTGTCGGCCAGCTCGCACTTCCCCCCTCACAATGGTCTTTTTTTTTCTCCAATCGATAACTTCTTTTCCTGTTATCTCTCTTCTTCGTCTGAGTCACAACTATATTGTAAAACGCGTGAAGTGTTCCCACCAATATTTTTCATTGTGCAAAAAAATGTGATGCTTTTTTGAAAAAAACATTTTTAACAATACAAATATTGCACTGCAATATTTCTTCAACATCTAATAACAAGTAGTACGAGCTGCCGCTTTTTGGGGGGAAAAAAAAAATTGATGAGTAGATTTTTGCATAAGTATATAATAGCGATAAATCGTGGAAAGTGAAGGGCAGGCACAGTGGTGTGTGGTACGGTGCATATAAGAAAAAGTGAAAAATAAAAAAGTGCTCGATCATCCACATCGTCTAAGACATCTATGCGTGTGGGCTAAAAAAGAGACTCCTTCGGAAAAAAAAAATTGTGCTTTCAATAGTCATTCGTAAAATATATACTAATATTATATCCAATGCAGAATACAAACAGTCAAACTTGACGGGTTCTCCTCTATTGTATATATGTAGATATACTCTCACTGGTGCTTTAAATAATATCAAATATTCTGTGCGCGTGGCTCGACTTTCGTTTACGGCTGACGTCTGACCATATCTCGAGTTTTCTACTTGAAACCGATAACCACGTCACTGTGATATATATTACACAGACATAGCGCACGAAAGTCGAACCACCGATTGTAAAAAACAAACATGATAATATAAGTAGATGATGATGATGATGATGATGATGATGATGATGATAACACGACGAGACTGTAGTTTTCCATAAATGTAATATGTACATGGATAAAAAAAAAAAAAAAAAAAAAAAAAAAAAAAAAAAAAAAACAGTAGAACAAGTCGAGCCTCGACAGACACGCGCGCACACCCACACACTCACTGCACTGTATATGGTGGTGGAATATAGAGTCGAGAGCAGAGAGAAAATACACGAGTGGCAATAGGGAAGGCCTCACCTTCTCGGCGAGGCTCTCGAGGGTCTTGGGGTAGCCGCGCTCGTACGGCTGGAAGTGTTGCGTCGACCCCGGCTTGGGCTGCTGAGTGATGACGGGCGGCGGGGGTGGCTGGTACGTCCAGCCGATGTGGTTCTCGGGCCTCGAGTTGTAGTAAAGGTCGCCGTTGCTGGCCGCGATGTCCTGGCTCGAGCCGAGCCCCGAAAGCCCGAGCTTGGAGCGCGAGGGCAGCATCTCCCGGCCGTCGCCGCGCCTCCGGCTCGCCGTGTCCCTCAGCTGCTGCGAGCCCCGGCAATTGCCCATGTGCTCGCTGCTGTCCTCGTCGTCGAGCTCCTTCTTTATCACGACCACGGGGGGCCCCTTGTGCTCGTTAACCCGGTTCATCGGGATTATCTGGTTGATGGGCCCGTGCCTGATGGCGAGCACGAGCCGCCTCGGTATCGACATTATTATCACCACGTCGTCGAGGCTCATGTGCGTCACGTCCACCAGGTTGACCGCCAGGATCTCGTCCATCACCTTTGGTCCGATGACGGTTACAGTGAGGGTGAAGGTTGATACAATTTAAATTACATATACCATCCTAAACACGTGTCGATGAATGGCCTATAGGTATATGTACTTTAACGTGTTGCCGTCAACTACTTTAATATGGTTATTCATTGATGAGCACGAACTGAAGTTGTGTTTATACTTATATGGGAGTATTTCAGTTGGTGATATTGAACACGGATTGAGACGGTGTCAAGGCTAAGTCACGTATAAAAATATACACATTTCATTTTTTTTACAATCGAAAAGATAAATATTTATTTGATTGATGAAATTGAGGTAACATTCTGCTGACTAATCGTCAGTTTGTGATATTTAAGGCACAAACAGCTGCTTTTTTAATTGATCTATCGTTGGTGTTAAAGGGGGTTATGGGTTACAAGAATTATTTCACGAAATAACAGAAACGCCGTTTTATTCACATTTCGTAAATTGACCTTTCGTGTGTATCATTAAAATTATTGGGACATTTTTTTTTATTCATATCATACGTGTAACTGTGACATGATACCATAACTTTCCCAAATTGGTGGGGGGATTTTAATGTGACGAATCATCTACCGTTGAAATTCAATATTGACAGAGATACGAATGAAATTACGTAAATTTTATCTCCGTCCGTATTTTGGAATCAAAGGCTAAAATTGTAAATTAATAAAATTTTCACTGCATCTATTGTACCATTACGTAGTAAGATTTTATCGTATTATTACAGTGAAACAACGATAATTGGTTTAAATTAGTGAGGAAAAAAATCAAATAAACAATACAAAAAATTATTAATCTATGATTTCAATATCTATTAAAAAAAGATATGCACGGCATTTCAATAGCAAGTTATTTTACTATAATATTGCGCGAAAAAGATCATTTCTCACACGCAATGAGATGGAACTTGACACCGTTCGACCCACTGATTTCCATTAATCCTCACTGGATTTCAGTAAATTTCGTCCAATTACTCAAACAAATGAATACACATCAGGAAAATGATTAACTACCGATTATTTGTTACCGAATTTTCATCTCCGAACAGCATCGAATTACCACATTTGTACAAACGCGTCAATTTAATACTACGTCAATCAAATGCAGTAACAACAAGCAAAAATTGCATTAAAAACGTGGTACTCGATTTTTCGAGCTATACAATACTATTCACCCGTTGCTTAATAAACTAAACGAAAAAAAAACGGGGCCCACTCATACCTTGAGAACACCGCTGCTAAAAACTGCGGTCTGCTCGGCAATCCTAGAGATGAAGACTCCGTCGGACCTGTCCGCGCCGTTACCCTCCCGAATGTACAGCCCCAGAGTCTGGCCAGGCCTCTTGATGATCTCGACAAACTGGATCGGCATCTTGGGGTCCTGTGAATACTCCATCTGCGTGCACGAGTCAAGTATACATATATGTTTTTTTTTTTTTTTTCCCATCACGCCATAGGGTACACATAAATCAGTATTGCTCCAAAATGTATAGGATCTAGATAGTACCTGCGAGGCGATGAACTTTTTCGCAGCCTCGGACACGTGCCTGCCAAGATGTCGGGGCTCGACGATCCTGACCACCATCTCGCCGTGCCTCTCGACCGCCTCGAGGGCCGACGCCGTCGACGCGTCGTGGTCATTCTCGACAGCTTCGATCTGCCGGAATATCTCGCCCGTGATCCCGCTGACCTGAAATTTTTCGTTCGGTCTCTCTTCGCTCTGGGAATAATTGTCCTTTCACATCTAATACAAGGACTACTCTGGAAATCGCCGGTTGACTCTGCGATTGGGCCTTTTTTTTCGTTTGAAGGATTTTTTATTTCATCCAAAGTTTAACCAAAAGCCCGATCTCAGAAACGAAAACTCGAAAAGATGTTTGTTTTCAAAGCAATGTCAGTATAGAAGGCAGTCGGTGCGATTAATGTACGTGCAAGTGTATATAAGTAAGTCGAAGCTGAGTAAAAGCACGAGTTGGTCCATGCGAGCGGTTGGTTACCTTCCTGAAGTCCGTCTGGAAGACCACAGGGGGAGGCTCCTTCGGGCGCAACTGGTTGACGGGCACCTGCCTCCCTGGACTCGCGCTTATGTCGTTCACTTCCCCCCGCCCCTCCTGCAATCATAAACATATCCAATCGGCCTCGCTTTAGTAACGCCGATTTTCTTTATCTACAACCATCTACTTTCTCCCCACCACCTCCCCCCCCAACCATCCATTGTGTGTCGCTCGCTCCAGTGTTATATGCGTGTCACCGTGAAAACTCCCTTCCTCTCCCTTTTCCAATCTCCCACGTTTCCACTGCTCCGACCCAACGAAAAAAGAAAAAATTACGATCCCAACGAATGTGCTACGATGCAGATTACGAGGCCCTTTTTTCGATTTACCCTATACACGGACCGATTACACTCCCCAAGGGAAGCGGATTCGATCGACATCGATTAATCCTTGGGGGGGGGAAAAAAAAAAAAAAAAACCACCTCCAACTTTGTACACACGCGTCAAAGTGACAAAGATTCCCCCCATTGCGTCAATTAGCCCTCTCTTGGCTACAGTCCCGAAGGTTTGCTTGAAATTTCCTCGGTGCCGTCTGGAAGCGTGCAAACTTCCACGAGTCAATAGGAAACCCGAGCAGTACGACGGGAGTGAGGGAGGGGGGAGCTTGTAAATTCGACAGGCATAAGCATATACGTATATATAGGCCCACGCGCGAGACCCAATCAGTCAAGGTAAACACAGCACCAGCCTCCAAGAGAGAGGCAGTACATATATACCAAAAAAAATTTTTTTTTTAAAAACCCCTTTGGCTCGGGTCACAGCAGCCCTCCCCCCAGCCGGTCCATTATTTCGAGAGAGCGCGCACACGCGAAATAATGACCCGATCCGCGGACGAGCAACAGCTACCGTACACTCTTTCCCACGAGCGGAGGATCATAACCACCGACCTCTCGTCCGACGCTGGCGCGCACAAGCCGTAGACACCGGGAGCGCAACCCCGTGCACGGCGGCAGCAGGAGCAGCCAGGCCCTGGCACCGCACATCCCGACCGAGTAGGTGGTGGACGTGGCGGTGGGCGGAGGGGGGGCGAGGGCGCCGGATCACCGAGCCGAGCTGCAACAGAAGCAGCAGACCTCCAGGGGATGGTGGTTGTCGTGGGTGGACGAGCCAGTGCCAGGAGCAGCCACGGCGGTGGCAACGGCGCGCAGCATCGCGTACAATGTACGCCCGCTTACTATATCCCTCGTCTCTCTCGTGTTTGCGCGAACCCCACCTCCTCCTCCCAGCCCCAGTCACACACATCCAGGAGCAGGTAGGTAGACTCACCCCCCCCCCTAGTATACCCTATCTCTCTCTTTCCTTCCTTCTTTCTCCCTCGTTTTCGACGTCCGGGCTCCTCGTCGTGCGTTCACCCTCTCCCCCTCCCGCCACTCTCCACCCCCTACCCCGACCCTCCTCCTCCTCGCTCGACTCCCATGTATACACAGGTGCGCATGCAGGCGCGCTCACGCACACGCCACGTTGTTGGCCTGTACGAGAATTTCAGGTGCAACGATCGCGAGCTTTCGCCGATGGTATATGTGTAGGATACGTGCCCACGCTAGCCGGAGAGACGCAACTTCACTCGCGCGCACTGCACCCCGATTGGAACGTCACATTAACCTCCTCCTCCAGTTTTTCGATTTTCTTTCTTTTTCCCCCGTGTGGGTAGGTATACCTGCTTCCGGTAGAAAAAACAGCCCGTGCCGCCCCTGTCGCACATCGTGTGCGTCACTACCACCACCACCACCACCACCGTCGCCGCGCTACCCCATGATCACGGCTTATATGGCGGGAAGCTTCGGACCCGCTGCTGCTGACGATGGCACCAGTCCAGCCTGCAGGTATAGGGGATCCGCCGACTGGAGGAGGCCGTCAACCGCGACGACGACGGTGCTGCTGCTGAGGAAATACACACACGCACTCACTCACACACACACACCCACATACTTACTGAGGAAGGGAGGGTGGAAAGAAGAGCTACGAGGGGCTGTAGGTGCGCAGGGGTGGTTTGCGCAGGCGGCTATAGGTACATGTATATATGTGTAGCAAGCGGTAGTATACTATAGTAGTAGCGCGAGGGAGGTTGGGTCTCTATGGGTTATCGACCCACTGTGACGTCACCTCGTTGCTCTCTACAAACACAAACACACACGAATGCTCGCATACGTATATATATATTACATACATATGTGTGTACGTAGCGCCTTCGTTGCAACGGTAGATATTATATACCGTGTGGGCCGTGCAATACCCGACCCCCTTCATTCTTGCTCGACAGCGTATACGCTCTCCATTACTCGAATCTCTACAGCTTCGTTTTACCCCCCTTCCCCGTACACGCGTGTATATATACCGGGTAGGGGGGAGCTTGGGCAGCTTGATTTTTCGGACCTCCATCTTACTCGAGAATAGGGATAAAATCACGCGCTGATGGCCGGTAATGTATAATAACTAGTAGAAGGGGGGGGGGTGGTCTTCGCTGCTGCTCGGCATTCATAACTATACGTACGTTACCTCCACCCGGAGATGTATATAGTTTATGCCCCTCGCGAGTTTTAACCCACGTGCGTCGTTACGTATACATGTATAATGATATGTTGATTGGTGTAAGTATATACGGTATGGATATACTCTATACAGGTAAATTAAATCGTTTTATCGGCTATGAGGTATACGTTATACGTATATGCAGTATATGCCCACATTGACGATGAAATATTGTGTTTACAACATTTGACGCCTGGCGTAAATGTAAGCTGCACGATTCATACGCGTATGTGCGGCAATAATTGCAAATCCAAAGTGATTAGTCTCAATTATACAGCATACTCGCGCAATGAAGATGGAACGGGGGCCATACAGTGTACACGTGGGATTATTCACGCGCGATACGGGCTGTATAAATCATTAGACGACGACTCGTTTGAAAATAAACTTTTATCTGGCAGCGATAAGCCACCCCCCCCCCTCCTAGCAAGCGCCGTTTCATTCATACACTCCCGCGCAAATGTATCCCACATATCGGTGCCCGTGGATATATACCCATATAGGTGTATACATAGATACATCGTGTATGTACATTTCCCAGCCATTTGGTTCTCTCTCGCATCTTCACGAGGGGGGAACGGGCGTCCTGCATATCATTATACCCGACGCGGCGTGTCCATCATATCCGCGTGTGCTATAAACCACCGACCCTGTGACCCCCTTTACTCGCAACCTCGTTCCCCTGCAGCCCCGTGTCTTTGCGACCGTTGCCTCGTAGCCACATCAGTTTGAGAATATATCCAGCCCTCCCCCCCCCCCGCCCGAAACCTCGTTTCCCGTCGATCTCTCGACCCTCCACCCTCTTTCATTTTTCCCTGTGTCCTGGCTCACCTCCCTTTGCGCGCCATCCTGCACGGCTTGCTCGATTTACCAAGAGAAAAGCTCGCGGGCAATGGAGGCTACCACTCGTGGGAATATCGGTGTATAGGTACACATATCCTTGCTGGGGCCGCGATTGTTGTTTCATGCACACGTGTACCAGATGTACATCTATCCGTCCTGCTGGCACATTAGGCGCGAAAAATTCAATTAGCCCGCAACAGCGCCGCCGACTACGTACACGCGTAATTTAATTTCTCCTCGGCGTGTGTGTCGGATCGATTTTCATTTTTTTTTTTTTTTCCCCAAAGCGTCTCGTACATAGATAGCTTCTCCCGGCTCTCTCGTCTTTATGTTGCACTAGCGGCTAATTGCTTTTCTTTTTCTTCTTCTTGCCGTTGTTTTTACAATTACAGCTCACGCGAGTCCAACCAAGGCCCAACATCATCAATACCCTTTTTTACCCCCCATGAACACGGTGCAACATCTTATTGTGAAGTGAACAATTCCTTGGGGGGATGGGTATATAAGAACATTTCCAACCTTTTTTTTTTTTTTTTTTGTCCTACTTGCAAAAAACCTAGCAGGGAGTAAGGGGTTGCTAACGCACCTATTGGTGCGGACGTGTACGAGAGTGCGAAGACGGAGGCATACATGACCAAAAAGGACGCGCGTTTGGAGGGCCTCCCCGTGACGTGTGCACACCCATCAGCGTCAGGCCGATGAATAGAGAATACTTTTACGAGCAGCGCACCTCATTCCATTACACGGCGCTGAATTATTTTTACAACCCGTATATGTGTGTGTGTGTGTGGGTGTGTACAGGTGACGCGCACGTCTACTCGCCGTGGCGTTACAACCAGCTAGACGCTTTGAATGTCCCGAATGAAATATGACGGGCGCTCGTACGCGCGTGTACCTACCTACTTGCTCGTAGCTTTTCAGATCGTAAAGATCCCACCCCCCTCCTTTCCCGGTATGGTTGCACGAGGTACCGACGACGACGAGTGTACACAATAATATATTATACGGTAACGATAATCCGAGCTCAAATGACGGCTGTATATACACGACGATGGCACATCGTAACGCAATAGTGCTGCGGTGCACACATCAGGCAGGCACGTGGGTGGATCGTAAATACAACATAATACGCGTATGCTCGCAGTGGTCCATCAAAAAGCAGAGAAGCAGCCATCGCTCATCGCGACACACACGCGTCTATACTCTCTCTCCCTTTTGATAATACTTGGCCGGCGCGGCGGCTCGTCGAAAGCTATACGCGGAGGTATACATAGAGCGGGGCCGGGCCATTAATCACGACGTCACAGCCCTTCCCGTACCTACGCGGTACGTATTGCCCCCCTTTGCCGTCCTTTATTTTCTCCATGCGAGTGCGTGTGTATAACCACCACGCGAGCCTTGCGCGTAGCAAAGCATGCACATATAGAGGCATAAAGTAGCCGGCACGCGGTAGTACACACGCACGACTATTGTGAGAGATTGCGCGGTTATGGAGGGGACAGGGGGGTAGTTCGGATCGAGTGGTGGAGGTCAATACGCAGGCGTATACGCGGGCATCGCCGCTCGTGAATTAAAATTGACTGCAGGAGGCTCCTCGGTGTGTATATAATGGAGCCGGTAGCTGTGCAGCTGACCCAGACTCTCTCTCTCTTGTGTGGGTGTATCGCCCGGCAGAGCGAGGGAAGTGGAGCTTTTTTTAATTATTCCGCGCTGGCGTGTGTATACGGGGGGATCGATTCGCCGGGGGATTATCGACGCTTATTCCCGGTCTATTGGCCGACGCGATCACGGGAGGGGTTCGTATGGGCAGGGAGGAAAAAAAAGGATGGGCTTTTACGACGTGTGAACCGAAAAAAAAAAAAAAAAAAAAAATATGGGTGGCTGGGCGCGCGTTCTCCCATCGGAATCGTTGCGGCGAAAAGTGCTCATTGCGAAGCTGCGCGTGGCCGAGTTTCGAAAAAAATTTCGGCAACGCTCCAACCGCGGTGATGAGCCAACTTTGCTCTATATATATATATACATCCCTTTTCCGCTGTGCGCTCTTCTCCCGAACAGAGGGACGAGGCGATCTCTCGAAACACGAGTTGGTCGTGTATTTAAAACTCTGTAATCTCTAGTGTCCGAGCATATGTCGGTAGTGGAGTTTACGTATATATGGGTACAGTACCCCGAGCACAGCTGGGCGGTGGGTATAGGGCGGGCGATCGATCTATTTGTTCGAAAGGACCGATAACGATGACGCGGCCATTAGTAACCTTGGAAACCATTAGCCTCGCGGTTCGTGAGTGCGAGCTATACCTGTACAACACACATGCATGCATGTACGAGCGAGTTTATAATAATATCTGCTGGCTCGCGACAGTGTACACGCACAGTTTAGTAAGTGTGTGTGCGTGTACTCTCTTGTACGCATATATATATATACATGCATGGGGGAAAACTAATTATGTTGCCATCAGCCACAAAGCACTTATTAATGACTGCGAACGCGAAACGCCCTGACACGTAGTGTATACCTAAAAGAGGGGGCTTGTCGTTTTGAAAATTTCAACGAGATTACACTACTACGGCTGTACACCGGGTCTGACGGTCTATTTTAACCGAGTGTCCTCTGCGATGTCGTGCCGTGGAGAGGGAAAAATCGAGGGTGCACAGGTATTTTTGGATCGTCGATTTCTAGGGCTGATTGAAAATATTTCAAATGTTCAACGCGTACCCTCCCTTTTAGCTATCGACGTTCGAACAGTGTATAGGTTGCATATACCGGAGACTCGATTGG